TCATAACACCCGTGACAATAGCGCCAGTGGCGGGCCTGCATTTCATCGATAACTTTAGCAAGCTGCTCCGCAATGTATTCACCAGTGTGGCGAGCTATTCCGGTTGGTACTGATGCCCAAAACAGGGATTTCATTCCAAGTGACACTACCATAAAGTTTATGTTGCTCGATCCGTTTGTGTCCGTCCAAGCGTCTGTCACCACCGTCACTATTCGATGCTGCTTGATTTTATCAATGCCCATTTTGCGGTATTCTTCACGAGCCCGCTCTAACAAAGGCCCAACTAACTTATGGCGTGATGGGAACTTTACCCCTGGGTTTAGGTACAAAAATACCGCTCGAAACTTGCCAGCCTCAACCAAAAGAAAGGGGAGCGAGCACACGTAGAACATCATGGCTAACGCCATTTCAAACTTGACTTGGTCGTAAGGAGTCGTCGCTCGCCTCGCATCTAAGATTATGCTGCTACGCCTTCCCAGACCTCCCGTAGAAGCTCCGCTACACCTCCGCAGCGCTTCAACCAGTGACGACTACGTATCTTCGTCGCTCACCTCGTATCCAAGCCCATGCATCTACACCGTCACGTGGTTTGCGACAGTCCGGTTTACAGCTCAGGCTCTCGCAGCACCGAGTATCTAGCTCTCCACGCACAACGGCGCGCCAAAACCAGGACGTCCACGAGGGCTTGTAAGGCAGCATTTTTGCATCTTATCGCCTGGCGCACATCCCCATGCCGAGTGCATTTAGTGTGAACTGTCGTTACGAAACTGTCAACCCCAGCGGAATTTGATATCGCATCTCTCTAGATGCGAACTTGTTCCACCTGGAGGTATTGCCAGCAGCCACCACATGAGCACGTGGCTGTAGTACACAGTACTGAAACTGCATCAGGAGCTGTGCCGTATTCAGTATTGGGCCAAGCCTGGCCCAGCATGGGTCTCGGTACCTGGAGAGTGTGAGACGCTTCTTGGGCGAGGAGTAGATGGTATCCTTGCCAATCGCGGCTGAAGTCGAACTGGTGCCGCCAGAAATCACTCGAGGTTGGGGGATACCCCTTTCTGGCAACTTCAACAAGAGGTTGGAGGAAAATCCGAGGACTTCCGAGGAGCTCGGATTGTTATTAACGTTTATAACGAAAATAGTACTACAGACTCCGAACCATCACTATTCAGGTACAAACCGGGTAAACGTAGGGCTGGTTTTGATCTTGTGTTTCATCGGGAAATTTTTTTGTGGCTTAGTTTAATTTCAGAGGATGTCTGCACATATAGTTTAGAAATCATTCATAGTTTAAATTCAGTCATTCGATTCTGAGACACAGTGAATAGTCAGAGTTGGATATGTTGGTGCGTTTTTGGCTATTTGTCTCACAGAAAAAAATTAACTCGATGAGTATTTGGTCAAATTGCTGTGTGAGTTGGACTTTCCTCTCTCGTGATGTACTGTACACGTTCGATGCACATGTGCCACTGCCACTGGTGACAGAAACCGAATTTGGGCGCCTTTTGAGGAGATGAGGCGAGATACTTTGCTTCGTATGTTGGCCTATAATGTCTCTTCAAACACAACATATTTAGGGCCTCTTTGGATCTAAGCAAAACCCCAAGCAGTAGCTCAGAATTTTGAAATAACTGAAAAGGCGGGATTACAGTAAATGAATAACTGAGGATTCTGTCACCAGTGGTACATGTTACATATACATCACGAGAGAGCAAAGTCCAACTCACACAGCTTTCAATTTGACCAAATACTTCGCCTTTCTCCCTCCGTTTACAGCCCTACAAACTAGCGAGTTTAGACTACTCAAACTAGGAATGATTTCTAAATTATATGTGCAGACATCCTCTGAAATCAAACTAAGCCACAAAAAGATTTCCCGATGAAACACTACGTTTGGATCAAAACCAGCATGCTCGAATCCATTCTTCGTCATTCGCTAAAGGGACATCATGTCGGCAGCCCAAGTGCTCAACAATGCTGCTTACGGCCGCACATCGGCGTGGCCTGATTCGAATACCCGTCCGGATCTGCAGACACTACGAGGACGCTTTCTACGACGACTTCATCTTTCGCTTATTTATGGTCTCTGGGTGCTTGGTACGCTTTTCAATGCAGCGATGTGGGTTTTCTCGCTCGTCTGTGTAGCTCAGTGGGTTTGGAGTACCCTCATCGGTGCTAATGAAGCTCCGATTCCACTTGCCGTGCAAGTATTTCTAAGTCTCGTCGCACTCTATGAGAGTTACCATTTCGTGACTCGGCCTTCGCATCACCCCTGGCCATTCATGCGGCGCTTGATTCGCTACTCGCTCCTTCACTACCCGTACTTCCGCCTCAATGCCACGGTCTTCGACGAGCGCGAGCGGGCCAAGCAATTAAGTCAAGATGGTGCTACCAATGACACTAGCGCTTTCAACACGGAGATCGCTAGCAAGACCATCGTGGAGAACGATATTTCTCCATTTGTGAAACCCAACGAGAGCGCCATGTTTGCTTTTCATCCGCACAGCGTTCTCTCCAATGGCTGGGTAGCCAATGGCGCGAATCACATGAGTTTCGAACAAGCTGACTGTCGATGGCTCGTAGCTGAAAATCTCTTTGGGGTCCCCCTCATGAGAGACTTGCTAAACTGGATGGACTTTAGTAGCGTTGCCAAGTCAACGTTCCAACAGCGTATGTCTGCCCGTCAAAATGTGTGTTTGATCCCTGGTGGCTTCGAAGAAGCAACACTCTACGAACGAGGCAAACATCGTGTGTACATCAAGAAACGCTTTGGCTTCATCAAGCTGGCTTTGCAGTATGGGTACAAGGTGCACCCAGTGTACACGTTCGGGGAGGAGTACGCTTATCACACCTTTCCTTATCTGCTCAAGTTGCGTCTCAAGCTGAACGAGTTCAAGATTCCTGGAGTATTTTTCTTCGGTCTTCCGCATTGTTTCTTTCTGCCTCGCACCGACGTGGACCTTATCACTGTCGTTGGAGAACCCTTGGTCCTACCGCGTATCGAACAACCGACCAAGGAAGACGTGCAGAAATATCAAGGTCAGTACGTCGAGGCTCTGCAAAAGCTGTTCAACAAGTACAAGTCTGTGTACGCCGTCGATCCGCAAGCGCAGTTGGAAATATACTAAGCGTTGCTTCTTTGCTTTTAGCGACTGCCTTAGAAGCAGCAGAGTTGCCTTAGTTAACCGAAAATATTCGAGAAAGTATCCAAACAAAAATACAAATACTAAACCAGCGAACGTTGGCTTACTCATTGCATTGTTGCAAAAAAAAACTCCTAAGTTTTATTAATCCGTGTCGAGGGTCTCGTGATTGCTTGGACGACCTCAACAGTAATCAGCCGCTTCCGATCGTTGAACTACAGAATATATACTTGCATAATCATAGTAGTGTCAAGTCGCAGGACATGTGAGCTCATTCTCGAATTCACCCGAGGCTTCCCACCAAGCTTCATCTTCAGCACCCTCCACCAGAATGACTCAAGTAGTCAAAGTTTACGGCCAGGGAGACGTCCGTTTTGAAGCCTACGAGCGCCCACCCACGGGTCCTCGCGATGTCGTCGTAAAGCTCAAGGTGGCCGGCATATGCGGCTCAGACCTCATGTACATTCGTATCGGTGGTATCCCACCTGGACACGTCACTGCAATCGGCCACGAGGCTGCCGGCATCGTCACGGAGGTCGGAAACGAAGTTGAAGGCATCACGGTTGGCATGCGCGTTGTCGTGAACCCCATGAAGACTCCCAGTAATATTGGTTCGGGGGGTCCCGAGGGAGCCTTCACGCAAGAATTATTGGTCCGAGACGCGAAGCTCGGTGCTTCGGTGCTACCGATTCCGGACGACATTCCATACGAGATTGCGGCGCTATGTGATCCTTTAGCTGTTGCAATGCACGGTGTCAACCGTGCAGATGTTAAAGCCGGAGACAAGGTTGTCGTATTCGGCTGCGGCCCGATAGACCTGGGCATGCTGATGTGGCTCGTAGATCGTGGAGTCACTGACGTAGTTGCCCTGGATTTGGCTGAAGAGCGTCTCGAGCGAGCTCGTGCGCTGGGCATACGTGCGGCTCTCGACCCAACCAAGGTGAGCCTCCGTGAGGAGCTCACAAAGCTGCACGGCGAAGTGCCCAGCTACAACCGTCTCGGTGTCGGCACCGATGCTTTCATTGACGCTGCTGGAGCACCAAACATCCTGTCCGACGTCGTAATGATGGCCAAATACCATTCGCGTCTGGTGATTACTGCTGCGCACATGAAGCCCCTGCAGTTTCCTGTTGGCCGCATGCTTACCAGTGAAATGACCATCACGACTGCTGTAGGCTACCCGACCGAAATGCCGGAAGTGATGGCAGCTATGCCGCGCCTCCAATCCAAAATCGCATCGTTGATCAGCCACCGCCTCGCTTTCCAGAATATCTTGGATGGGTTGAAGGTTGCGGGAACACCTTCCTCTGCTAAGGTTATTGTCGAGTTCGACTGAGCCGTACATTGCATTGGGCCTTCAATGCTTCAAACAAGCTTCAGTTAAAAAAAGTGGTATCATTGTTCAAAAGACGAGTCTGGATAAGAATGTTAAAGTGTGGACTCCAGTTCGACTGCATTATACTGACCAAATAGTTCTTACATTGCCGTCATGTGCGGCTCACAGATCTGCTTGATACTACTACATGTAGTAGTATTTTTCTTGGTTGGGTGCTCGTTTTGTGGGACTATCAAAAGGGTTTACCAACCACAATAATAGATAGAAACACTCTGGACGACCGAAGACGAGCACACCAGGCACCTCGAGCTCATTCAGGTTAAGGACAATTTCACTGAATGAGCTCGAGGTGCCTGGTGCGCTCTATAGACAGGCGTACTCCTCTCCAAACGTGTAGACCGGATGCACTTTGTCCGTATTGTACGAGAGTTTGATAAAGCCAAAGCGCTTCTTGATGTGCACACGATGTTTGGCTCTTTCATACAATGTCGCTTCCTCGAGGCTCGAACTCACCAGGCATCAAACACGCACCTTTTCAAAAAGCTGACTTGGCAGCGCTGATAAAATTTATCCAGTTGACCATTTCACACGCTTAATCAAATATAAGGTTAGAAGATCTACTTTAATGTGACCACGTACGTAGCGGCACCTTCGATCCTGCTATTAGTAGCGCGGCTGCAGAGGTTCAGAGTACTGCAGCCATGATGTACTGTATAGCCGTTGCCATACCCATCACGCCATTTACCGACACGCGGTAGAAAACAAAGCAGCCCCGCAATGCCAAACACCGCATATGAACCAAGTCAAACCCCTGCACCGCACACATCTGTTGTGAGTCTTGAGCTCCGGTCTGACGTCGTTGCTGCCGTCCGTCCTGCAGAATTGTCCATGATTTGTTATCAAATAACGGCAGCTTGACTGACAGCCATCCTTGCCTCGAATTCGTCACAGTTCTTGGAATATCTTCCAATCCTCTCTCGTCATTGTACCCCAAAGTCGGTACATAGGAATCCAGACGTCATTCTCAGTTTCTAAAAAACACCATGGAGCGCTCGAACTCGGCTCGAGCGGCACAGCTCGGCGAACTGGTGACGGGCCGCCGCTACTTTCTGCTCACACTGGCAGCCACAGGCATCGCCGCGGCAAGTGCAGTGCAGCGACTGCGCGAGTCGCCTACTCCGGACCCTCGAGCGTCAGGGATACAGCTCTTTATCGTCGAGCTCCTGAGCTCGCGTATCAGTGCGATGGTGCGTTCCTACCGTGTTGTGGGACAAGCCGACCATCACTCTGTGCTAAATCTGATTCTATTGTGCTTCAATGCCGAAATCAGATCATACTCCACTTCTTCCTGGTGGCCATGTACCACGCCTTCCTGTTGCTGGCGCGTGCGGCGCTTGGTGCGCTGCGACCGCTGGAGCTGCAACAGACCAAGGAGACGCTCATCCCCTTCGTACTCTTGCGCTGCCAACTGCTAGTCAGCACGATGGAGCCCAGTGGACATCGGATGGAGCTGGGAATGCTCGTGGTGTGGCTCGCAGCGCTGGCTGTGCTTCGCGCACTGCTGGCACTGACTCAAGCGCGGTTCCAGCATCTACTGACTCGCCCTATGACGCAGCTGAGGGACTTGCAGCGCCTCGGAGCTGTGCTAGTCGGCGTTATCGTGCTGAATCTTGCGCTGGCCGCAACGTGCTCGCGTCTCCGTCTCTTTTCGAATCGAATCGTGCACGTTCCATGGTTCGAGGCGTCGCTGATGCTGCTCAAGACGCTAGAACTCGGCGTACAGGTCGGTTTTCAGAGCCTGGACGTGCGTGCAGCTTCTCTCTCGGAAGAAGAGGACTCGGGCTACTCGGAGAACAGCGAGTTCCACCTACTACTGCTACAGACTGTGCTGTCAGGCTGCTACTTGGTGCAACTGGTGCTGTATTACCTCTATGTTATCAGTGTAGACCAGTTCCGAGTGAGTCTCTTCGATCTGATCCTGATTCTCAACGTGAAGAACGCGACGATGCGACTGCTAGACAAGATCAAGCACGTCAAGCTGTACCAGCGGGTGGTGCTGGATCTAGATCAACTGTTCCCTGACGCCACTGCTGACGAGCTGGAGAGTGTGGCGGACGACGTGTGCGCCATCTGTCTCAAGTCCATGTCGACTCAAGCCAAGAAGCTGCGCTGTGGCCACCTTTTCCACCGACTGTGTCTGCGCCAGTGTCTCCAGAAGGCGTCGGTGAGTGATGCTCTTGCTGGACTGGACCCGCTCACGCGCATGGCCAATGGTCTGGGTATGGAGGGACCGTTACCACCTGCTGCGAGTGGCTCGAGTGCCAGCTCGACATCCATACGCTGTCCGATCTGCCGTAAGCAAGTATGTGGTGGGAAATGTGACGAGATGACGTCTGCCGAGCCCGAGCACCCGCGTCCTCAGCAGCCTGAAGCGGAAGCTGCGGCCCCTCAGACTGAACAACAGCAAGTTGCCATCAACAATGTGCAAGCCGAACCACAGGCGCAACCAGCTGCAGCTCCAGGCACTGCCGCCCCCGAAGAAGTGCTTCGCTTTAGCAGTACGTAACTAACTACTGTCGTGGTACTATATTGGTGCTGTAGCTGACGTTTTGTTGTATGGTTTGGTGACACAGCGGCGTTCCTCTCGCGTTGGGTTCCGTTCCCGAATTTCTCGTTCGAGATCGTCCGACATCGCGGCGGTATGCGCAATTTCGAGGTGACGCAGGAAATGCTACAGCAGATATGGGAGGTTTTCCCTCAGTACACCTTGGAAGAGATTCGCGCAGATCTTACTCGCACTCGATCAGCTGAACGCACGATGGAGCGGATTCTGAACGGACGTCTCGATGAACAGCGGCTGGCGATGGAACAGCGTGACGCAGATCGTGCCGACATGGATGCAACTGGTGTGCTGGGCGACGCCGTAATTGATTTGGGCGAGGATTTTCGGTGGAGTCTTTCGATTTTGGCGTCGGCTTTGTGGGGCTCAAACGCTCGGGCACCCACGCCGGCTCCAGTGCCAGCCCCAGTGATAGAAGCTGCAGAGCCTACTACCGATGCCACTCCTGTTGTTGGTGAATCTCAACGCCAAGATCGTGGAGAAGCTGAAAGTGAACCTCTTTTGCGTCGATTGGAGCGTTGGCGAGGCGGTCGGCCAGCATAAGGCTGAAAAGGTATTATCATGTTGCTAAAAGCATCGACTGTGTTTATTTTGTGTTATTAAGCTGGCTCAGTATAATTCAAGTTCAGCGTCTGGGTCGACTGCGTACACAGACTTGTACTTGTTGAACAGCTTTTGCAGAGCCTCGACGTACTGACCATGGTATTTCTGCACGTCTTCCTTGGTCGGTTGTTCGATACGCGGCAGGACCAAGGGTTCTCCAACGACAGTGATAAGGTCCACGTCGGTGCGAGGCAGAAAGAAACAATGCGGAAGACCGAAGAAAAAGACTCCAGGAATCTTGAACTCGTTCAGCTTGAGACGCAACTTGAGCAGATAAGGAAAGGTGTGATAAGCGTACTCCTCCCCGAACGTGTACACTGGGTGCACCTTGTACCCATACTGCAAAGCCAACTTGATAAAGCCAAAGCGTTTCTTGATGTACACACGATGTTTGCCTCGTTCGTAGAGTGTTGCGTCTTCGAAGCCGCCAGGGATCAAACACACATTTTGACCTGTGGCCATGAAACGATGGAAAGTCGATCGAGATACGCAACTGAAGTCCATCCAGTTCAACAGGTCGCGCATGACGGGGAACCAGAAGAGATTCTCCGATACGAGCCAGCGACAATGGGCATGCAAGAATCCCATGTGGTGCGCGCCGTTGAAGGCGAATCCACTGGAGAGGACACCGTGCGGATGGAAGGCAAATAGAGCGCGATCATCGGGGGTCACGAATGGCGACAGATTGTTCTCTTCAACGGCCTTGCTGGCAATTTCTTTGTTGCATTTGCCATTTTCACTTGAAGTTTTCGAACGCTCTTCAAAAACCAAGACGTTGAGGCGGAAGTATGGGTAATGAAGAAAAACTTGTCGAAAAAAACGTCTCATAAATGGCCACTGATGCAACGAAGGTTTTGTGAGGTAGTGGTAGCTTTCGTGCAGCACGATGAAACCCAGGTATATCTGGGCTGAAAATGCCATCGGAGGAGCATGGTCGTGTGTAGCTCGTCTCCAACTCCATTGCACCAAACAGAAGAGTGAGAAGACCCACATTACTGCGAGAAACAGGAGGCCGACGACCCAGAGACCGTAGAGAATGAAGAGATCGAAGCGTCGCATGAATCGCCCTCGTAGCGTTCGCAACTCTGGGCGAGTATCAAAGTCCGGCCACGCAGATGTGCGACCGCAAGCCGCATTCGTGAGCTTCGCCATCACGTCGTTTCTACGCAGAATAGTGAGCTCGACCCTTCGGTAGTGGCACGAAGAGCGTTTCGTAGCGTGGCATTTCCGTCATTTCCAATATCAACTTTGCCAAGTTGCCGAAAAAAGAGTGTTGCTACTGGCAAATAATGTGGCAAATAATGCTGCCAGTGGCAACACTATTTTTGAGTTCGAGTGATTGCACGAGGTTTTTGAAGGTGGGTCGAAAGCCTAAAGTTTGTTCAAAGTAACCGAACATCTTGTTTCATTTCAATAAATACCATAATTTATTATTCTGCAACTACACTTGCACATACCGCCTGCTCTTCTAGCAGCGCGGCGCAATACTTGAGACAGCAGCCCGATAGCTAGTTAGGCAGGAGGAGCCAGAGTTGGCGACACCTTGCAGGAGTTATAGCCACGCAACAATGGGTGATGCGCCACTTCCTTCGCACTGAGACGGCGTGACGGCTGCACTTGCAGCAAACTCGTCAACAGGCTCACCGTAGGCTTGGAGAATTGCTCCTTGAGTCCCCAAAGCTCCAGAATCTTGCCCACGCCGTACTTGTTCAGCACGCGAAAAGTTGGGGCACGGGCGTTTTCATCGACAAACAGCGGCGAGCCAGTCAGCATGATGAAGAGTAGCACGCCAAGTGACCAGACATCGGCGCCCTTGGGGTCGTACACAGCCCCCTGCGTGACTTCTGGGGCCATGTAATAGAATTTGCCTACGAAATCGGCGGAAAACTGGTTGGCATTGGAGCTGAGGCCAAAGTCGCAAATTTTCACGAGTCCGTCCTTCAACAGCACGTTCTCAAGTGAAATATCACGGTGGGCAACTCCAATAGCGTGCAGGAAGCTCAATCCTTTTGCGATCTGGGCGAACAGCGACAACGCCTCGGCCTCAGGGACACGTCGGCCGGGCTTAGCGGTAACGTAGTCATAGAGGTCTCCACCGGCACAGAAGTCCATGGCGATGAAGACACTGTCTCCAACAGTGAAGAAACCCTCGCGTTCGTATTCCACGACATGTTCACGACCTGGGGCGCGGGCAGTGAGTGGGTCTTCGAGTAACTGGATCACGGCACGTTCACTGAGAGGATTCTCCTTGACGGTGTCGACGGAGCTTTTGTCCTCTTGCTGTAGTAATGAGATGCTCAGACGCTTGATCGCCACAAGCTTCTTAAGTTCTTCATCGCGATACAGGGCGGTCTCGCCGTACAGAGTGTTGCGAAGTTTTTTACAGCGGGTGTAGCGAGCCAATGCATCGGTAGAGGCGGCGGTTGCAGTGGCGGAGGGCGTAAAGCTCTCGACGACGAGTGGAGATCGCATCATGAGACGGCTTGAGTGGATTCGGGAGGTGGCTGAGGACAGTCTCCTCCAGGTGGAGCGACACGTACTAGGCTTCTCTGGCAAATTTGTGGCGCAACTCGGACGCAGCAGTTGGGCTCGAAATTGGAAATGCATCGGCTCTTTCATCGAGGGCCTGAAAAGGTGCGAACCCTGCTGAAAACGATAGGTATTTATCCATCCGAGATAGACGGATATGTTATAAGAGGAGCGATAAGACTTTAAATTGGTCTTATTTTAGAATCCAATCGCACAGCCGGTCAGATTTATATTGCATTTACGAGGTCAGTGGCATGTCCATCCGCTCCGTCACATAAAAATCGGTTGCTCGTGGACCAGGTTCTGCCCGCTTCAACTTGTCGCGAACCCTTTTTTCTTGAGGTATCCGATTTTACACTGGCGCTGAGTATGGCCATTTGTTAAACGCAATTCAATTTCAGTTACATGACAATGCAAGACGAGCTTGAAGCTCTGGCTGCAAAAGGCTCAGGTCATTTCCATTATTGGAGAAACCGCAGGCGAGCGTTGCATTCAATCTGACGCCAGCGGTGCTTGACTCGTAAAAACGTTGCATCTAAGGCTGTGCGAGGCCGTTTCGCATGGCTTCCAGCCATCCGTTTACAAACCGCTTCAAACGCTGTCAGAATTGCCTGTTTGGTGTTCAAATGATGGACGATGAGTGGTTTGCAACGATGATGAACGAAGCACAAGTTGTCTTGGTGACATCGTGGTCAGACTTGGTCATTCGCGTAATTTTTTCGATTGGCCTACTTGGAGGAACTGGGAAAATGAAAGACCTTCTTCAACGGCGGCACAGTCGAATAGCAACTGAAACTCTCCATAATGACACCAATCAACTGGACTTGGTTGGTCCGTTTTTCACCACTCAACACACAGTCAGCAAAGCCCACAATAACCAAATTGTTAGGGCAATAAGAAGGTCACCATTTGGAAATTTGAGCGCGTATCGGCGTCGTGGCCTGTTTGAGGTGGTTCAAATCATGCTGGCGATATGGGGCATAGTTATTCTAGTATTGCATATTGATGCATCGCTGCGACCACCGTTGCTTGAGTGCAATCCTAAAGTTCATCCGATGGCGGGGGCGCTTCCATCCTGTTTTGTCGTGAACTTTGACTGCTATCAGCTTGGGATCTCAGGACTGACAGATGAAGTTAACAAAGAGTGGGGGCGATTCGAGTTGCAAAACTTCAGATATTACATTACCCAGCAATGGAAGTACCACCGCACCTTCGAGGACAAGATCTGCGGAGTCCGCTTTCTGAGGTTCAATGCCCAAATCGTGGCGCTTACATCCTGAACATTGCGTCGCGAATAATAGTACCGGTATCCGCCTAAAAAAGAACCCTTTTCATCCGCGCGTCATTCGCCCTCGGCCAATCGGATCACGTCGTTTTATTGTGTTTGTCGCAACTCGAGTCGAGTAACACGACACTATGACCCCCAAGAGCCAGTCAAATGCAGCGTTGCTAAAATACAAGGCAAAAAGAAAGAAAAAAAACGCTGCAGAGCAGTTTTCTGAGCGCACCACGAAGTTCGTGGTGACGTACCACGCAGAGCTATCCCAGAATCCTTGTTTGCTTGTACATGTAGCTAGAGTACTTAAAAAAAACTGCTCTACATGTTTATTATGGTACACCGGTATACCGGTACAGATGTCGATTTGCAAAGAATTATGACAGCGATTTTGAAACTGTCAAAACCAAAAACCATTCATTCTAAAACTTTCAATGTTTTTGGTTCATAAATCCCCAGCCTCGAGCGTTCCAGTAAATCCCGCCAACCTCCAAGCCGGCACTAATAGGCTACAGAATTTTGCCAGTGACTGGCCGCGGTTGATGGATAATCCAACCAACCCTTCAGCGCTTCTCTGAAGCAAACTTGCAGATTTATCGCCGGCGTATGGATACGAAGCGTTTCAAACGATGCTAGCACTGTAAATTGAAGTTGTAATCAAGTGCCGCGAAATCAATCCAAGTATGTTTGCCACATTATTGTACTGTACTCACTATTTATATTAATAACTCTTTCCTGGTCAAGGGTGCAATCCGGTGTACCGCTGGTAGATGAAGAGTGACCCGTCAGTCTTGTTAATACAGTACCTGGTGCACGGTACCAGGTGGTCTCCGAGACAATCTGTGCATAGCTGCAAAGCTCCACTATGGGTGACCTCTAGTTCTTACATGTATTAGAACCCAAGCTAAGCTTACTTATAAATACATCAGTCTTACATCTACTCCTCCAAGTAGCAAACCGTTCCCGCTGAGGCCGGGAACACGTGCATTATCGTTCACTCGGGTAGTAAATACCCATAAGCACTTCTTCTGTGCAAGGCGCTGCGTGATCCCGTCACACTTGGTAGCACTGGTAGTCAATCCTACCCCTTCGCGGGTAGATTGAACTACCTGAATCCACTGTGTGCTCTACGTTTTTGCTATGATGGACCGCAGTGAGTTTTCCCGCTTGAATGATTCACAGTACGAGTCTATTCAAAAGATGGGAGACATCTTTGGACAAGATGTCCTTCGCAGCTTGGTCGCAGCGACTCCTGCCAAGGCCACGAACGCGTGGCCGCGTTTGAGACAGACGAGCGTGGTCTCATCGCTCACGTCCGCAGGAGCTTGGATGCCTCAATAACCGCTCTCCTCAGGCAACCAGGCCTAAAACGGTAAGGTTATGGGCCCCCGCGTTTAAGAAAAAGGAAGGAGCCAGGTGAATATCTTAGGTCCACACGGTCGCCCAGACCTTAGTTAAAGAGGAAGACGCGGATGTGCTTCCTGTGTGGGTAACACAGTACCACACGCAGTCGACCAGACTATAACGGAAGAAGAAGGCATTAACCATGCTTTCCATGTGAGCAACACAGTACCACAAACGGTCGCTAAGACCTTAATCAAATAAAGAAGGCGCTGACCACGCTTCCTGTGTGGGTGACATAGTGCCACACGAGGTCTTGAGTGCCTCCGATGTCGTCAACAAGACATCACGACGTGGGTAACGAAGTGCCACGTCACGTTAGCTGCCGCAAGTCGGGTCTAAACTTTGTTCAGACCGACGTCGCTTCGTGCGACGCGAAGGCCAGTGCCCGGACTCCTCCGACACGGTCAGTGGACACCACTTCTATCCGGTGCGTGTGGGGCTGCCACGCGAGCAAATCCCAACACCGAAGGTCGTCGCGCCATATGGGCTTCGACATGGTAGTGTTAAAGGGCATTCAGGTGGGTAACATAGGTCCACACTTGCGGGTAACACGTTCCGCAGGCAGCGAAGCTGCAGAAGGAGGCCGGCATCGGTGCTCTAAGCGTGGGTAACATAGCTCCACGCAAGGTCACTCGGACCAAAACTGATAAGGAAGCTGCACTATGTGCTTCTTATGTGAAAAGGGGTTTGTATTGGCAAATGATACACATTAATACGCTGATACGGTGCGGTACCACCCACGTATCATGTATCAAGTGATACCTATCATTTCGTCAGCCTCGTAATACTACTCCGCCGAGCATACAGAGGTGATTCGAAATTAGATACTACAATGATGTATCAGTACATGAGTCGTTGAATAAGCTCCCTAAGATATCATGCAAAAACCTATTTTGATCCTATGCTCAGCAACGCACTTACTACACAAGATGAGTCTATTCTTTCCTATAGTAGCAGCTCTGTACCTGCGACGACACCGTTTAAAAGATGGAGAAAGCTGCCTCGGAAGGCATACGCAATCCACCGGAGACATGGCTGGCGACTATTACGAGCACGGCGCTCCTCGATCAATCGGGGGTTTCAGCTAAAACGCGTTTACCGCTGTGTGGAGCTACATTTTGAAACTAGATACGAGGGATGCTTCAATCCTTTCATAAGCAGAGTGAGAACTTCAATTAGAGCATGTGATCATTTTAAAGAGGATGTTGCCGTGCGAAATGAGTGACGAAGAGTGCAAAACGACTGAAATGATGTGCCTTGTGAAAGCCACTGGACAGACGAGTAATGGAATCTGAAGAATTGTCACATTGTTTTTAGAGATTTGTGTGAAGCATTTGTATTGGATACATGTATTAGCTGCTTGGTGCTGACTTGAATACAGCGCCATTTCAGGATTAGGATCATTTGATCCTAGTCTTCTTCAATCTGTAACCTGGAGCAGTAGTAGCCATAGCGTTCAATGTCTCGACAATACGAACCCCTGTGTGTGGGTCACATGGTTTCCACACATCAAGGCGGGTAGCGCAGATCCGCAACCAAGGTGGTAAGTAACAGCGCTCCACAGCCAAGGTAGGTAGCAAAGTTCCACATCCAAGCCGGGCAACATAATTCTGCACAGCGTCATTACAAGGCTATCTTGTCCTCGCCAGTCGTGAGCTACTCGCCCGTCGTCAAGTCGCACAGGCTCCATCTGCTAACGGATGCCTTCGGTCGGCACGTCCGACGCGGCCATCCATACCGAAGCAGTGCACAAGGCGGATAGCCGTAGCTCCTGCTAGTGGCTATCCCAAACCATGAGACGCTCAATAGCTTCACGTTTCAGCGGGGGAGAGGCTCGGAATACCTTTCCATCCTGGGCTTGAGGTACTACCAAGTTCCTTACGAAACCAGGCGTCGATGTACATCGACTGCAGGCTGGAGATCAACAGCTGGGTTATCGTTGCGATAGCTTTAACTTGAAGCAGATAGGCTTTCGTATCTAACAAAAGCGCGAGGTTTACACTATTTTACAAGTGTTAATTGCTTAAGAATATATAATTTTAGGGATTATCTGTTGTCCGCTGCATTTAGAAACAGTGTGTACTTCGTTTCGATATGTTTGTGTCTAGATGGCAGCGTAAAGTTCGGAGCGGGTACTTATCTACAGCCCCTGCTAAACACATTTGCCACATCGTGCAATTAGGCTTAAGCGTCAGCACTTCTTAGTCAAACCTAATGCGTCCACATAGAGCGATATATGTCATACAAACGCGACACAGTAAAGCAAACTAATATCACGTACAAACAGCCACCTCTACACCTTCGCATCTATAGCAAGTAGGAGTCGCCTAGCTATTTGAAGACGAATATCAATCTTCAACTTCGGAAGGACGAAGGCAATGAATAAAATTAGTCTTTTTTTTCTAGCACGCTGAGCCAGCCAATTCAAAGATAAAAACGTATGACCTTTTTTATAGCCGAGCCAAGCCATATTTATATGCT